AAAAACCAAAAACCAAAAACTGAATTATAACCATCCCAGGACCCTGGGATCATGACCTGAGCCGAAGGCAGACACTTACCCGACTGAGCCACCCAGGTGCCCCTGACACATACAAATAATGAATAAAATTAGTTGTTACTCAGTGTAATACATTGCATAAAAAACAGTTAATCAGATAACTCCATTGTATGAACAATTCCTGAACCAGGCTATAATATATAAGAATTTGAGAATTGACAGGATAGTATATTTACTTTTGGATTTCTACTAAATACTGTCTTGAACTACTTTACAATCAAGTATAAAGTTTATATGAAGTCCTATCAGAATATTCATTAACACACAAACATTGTGATCAGAATACTCATTTTTAGGGAAAGGAAAACCTTACACTCATTTTAAATTATTCTATTAATATTGGCCGTATAAATTTCTAAGTGATGACAAACTGAGACTAACAAGGATGGTATAGATTACTCATGAAAGTTTATAGGTCTTGTGTTATAGTGATATAATTGTTAAGATATTTAATGATGAAATGATGCTGTTCCTTAATTTTTACTTATTCCAAGTTCAAGTAGCCTTCTGCCTTATGCTGTCTTACACTATATTAGAAACTCTGGATTTTTTTAATACTCTGGTTTTTAATTGACAAAATTGCATATATTTGAAGTGTACAATATGATTGGACCATACTCTCTTTTAATACCGTATCTAAAATAATTTTAATCAGCAAATTTTCTCATACCCAATTCCAGTGCCATGTTTTTGTTCCTGCTCTTTGCCCTCCCTCACCCTGCCCAGTCTCCTCCTTTCCTACCCTGGGGGTAGCAGTGCATTCATTCTGGAGTCTTTGCTACAGGCTCTGTGCAGGGAATGCCCAAGTATAGGGACTCAGAGCCTGGTGGAAGAGAATGTATAGAGGCAACAGTGATTATACGGGATGATAAGTGCTTCTTCCTGCAGATCTGATCACTATGGAAATGTGTGGGGTTGCAGGACTGGAGGTGGGGAGATCTGTTAGGATATTATTATGATATTGTCGTGGGAACACAGCAAGTGGCAGAAGAAGTGAAGAACAGAATGTATTTGAGAATAATTTGAGAGTCAGCCAGCTTTAGTGATGTACTTGGGGACAGGATGGAGAGTCAGTAAGAGAAGGTGAAGTCAGCAATGGTTATAGGGTTCTGTCTTGGGAGACTAGATAAACGGTGGAGATCCTGAGCCGAAATAAGGACTACAAAAGGAAGGGCAGGCTTGGAGGATGACAGGTAATGAGTGGTAATGGATTCAGGTTGGGATCCTGTGAATTTGAGGTGTCCTTGGGACATCAGTGTGGATGTATCCAGTTGGACATTGGATTTAAACATGTAGAGTTATACTCACGATATACAGTCAGCCATTAGTGGTGTCGTCTGTCTTCAAAGTGGATCCCAAGTGTGTAGTGGAAGGAGTAAACCAATGTTTTAGGGATGGTCTGAGGAGCCCGGAGACAAGGGAGTCAGAGAGGCAAAGATACAGTGATGGAAGCCAAGGGAGGAGAACATTGTAAGGAAGAAGAGGTCAAAATTGAGGTTAACAAGCTTCTGTTGGGATAGTTAGGAAGACACTAGCAACCTTGGGATGTTTAGGAACCATGTAGTTGTGGGTATAGAAGGAACAAATGCAAGGAGGAGAGAATGGGGGGTGAGGAAGTGGGCTGAGAGTCATGGTTGTGAAGATGGACATGGGATTAGAGACAGAGCCAGGGAGGGACGTGGGGTTAGGGGAGAGTCACTGTGTCTTCAAATCTGTCTTCAAGTCCACGCATTCTCTCTCTAGTCACATCTTACCTGCTGCTTAACCATTGTATTCAGTTTGTAATTTCAGTGTCTCCGTTTTTCATTTGTAGAAGTTTAGAAAGTCCTTTTTTTGGTAGGCCTGGTCTATATTTCTAGAGTTGTGTTTGTACTCCATTGTATGCCTTTTTTTTTTTTTTTAAAGATTCACTGTATGCCTTTAATAATTAGATTTTTACTTATTTTATGGTCTTTGTTTGAAAATTCTATCTCTGACATTGTTGGGGCTTCAGCCCGCCTGTTGGTTTTATCTGCTGATAACTGCTCCGTAGAGCAGCGTGTGGTTCCTCAGGTGGGCTCACCTTCAGCAGGAGGTTCTCTGTAAAAGTCTCATGGCCTGCGAGGGGGCATAAATTGTTGCAAACACATTTTGTATTGGCTTCTTTTTTTTTGAGAGAGAGCGAGAGCAAGCGAGCACAAGAAGGGGGGAAGAGGGAAGAGCAGGCTCCCCACTGAACAGGGAGCCTGATGCAGGGCTCGATCCCAGGACCCTGAGATCATGACCCGAGCCAAAGGCAGACCCCCAACCGACTGAGCCACCCAGGCGCCCCTTGTATTTGCTTCTTAACAAGAACCCCAGGCATATGTCCACTTAGAAATCACTTTTTATGTTACTAATTTCTTGGCTTGGGTACACTACCAAAGCAGGCAATTTCCATATTTCTTTATATTATTGTAATAAGAACATACTATAAATGGCAGTGATGTTTTATATGTGTGTTCAGAAGTATGTGTGTGTGTGTGCACGTGTGTATGCATGCACACACATACCTATAGAAGGGTCCCTTAAAGTTACAAATGATCACAAAAGGTAGCAATAAATAAAAAGGCAAAGCTTATTAGATTTCTCTCTCATTTTCTTTGGAACTGTTTTTAGTTTTATTCTAGAGTAACACTGTCCATTAGAACTTTCTGAGATAATGGGAAGGTTCTATACCTGCAAAGACCATTTCAGTAGCCACTAGTGAGATGGTGCTCTTGAGTATCAAAATATGGCTAATGAAAATGAGGAACTGAATTTTTTAATTATAATTCATTGTTTAAAATAATAAAGGACATTGAGTGACACATCTCTTCCTCATACTGCTATTCCTAGATATTAGGTTATAGATATATTTAGATATGTCTAAATACCCTTCTATCTATACACCTAGATATATTATTTAGATACCTTAATAAACTGGGCAAATACTTTCTTTGAAAACTGACTAATGAATGTTTATTTTTTAGGTAGAAGAGGTGAGTACTCTATTAAAAAATTTCCCCCAAAGAAACAACTTTTCATCATTCTTTGGGCAAAAATATGTATATTTGTACAGATGTACATATACATATATATTCTGATCTCATTTTCCACTTTTTGCAGATGAATAAATTAGTCCATAATTCCGAATAGACGGACACAGACCTCTGAAGCTTGAGTTAGCGTTGAGAGTCATTTTTATTGGCAAGAATAAAGGGAGCATGTTAGTATAAAAGATACACACCAAAGTTTCATCATGTTTATGTATGATCGATGAAAAACATTTGAGATGGTATTACCAGGGTATTTTTATCAATAAAAACTTAGTCCCTAAACTTAAAATATTACTACCAAGGAGGGCTTATTTTCATGTGTGAGTTCTCCTTACTCCGTAACTCTGAGCTGGAGAGTCCTCTAAAGATAAGGAGCCAGATAATGAGATTCTATGAGAAAAGTAACTTACTGAAAAACTAAAACTCAGAATAATCATTATTTTTCTCCACCATACTTCACCTGACAGTTCTTTAGTAAGTTAAGCTTTAATTAGTTAATTATCCTCCTGATTGTTTTAATACCAGCAAAATCTCTTTTTTTAAATGAAGGAAACATCTATAAGAAGACTACAATTATCAGCACTAAAAATTGTGGAGGACTTTTCCTCTCCCCCTAAGAAAAGTCACAGTGGCAAGGCTTTAACTTTGTTAAAGAATCCTTTGATGAGATCTCCGATTGGCAGGAAGTCCTGTGAGATCTGTTACCGTGAGTTATTCACAGCCCCTGGATTCATAGCCCCTGGTAGCCAGTAAGCTGTAACAAAGCTGCAATGCAGGGGAGACTTGGGGCTTCAGGATTTGCTTGAGACAAATCGCAGATGCATAGGTCAGCACAAACCTGGAGACATGGTGCACACCATCTACTGCGTGCTTCATGCAGGAGAGCAGAGACTCAGAGTTGTTTCCCCCATCTCCGATTATTTGTCTTGTTTTTACAATTTGTTTGGTAGCCATTTAGGATTTAAATCTGGTTACTCTCTTTAGATTCTCCCCAAGTTTTTATTACGGAAAACTTCAAATGTATGAAATAGAAAGAAGAGTATAATGAACCCCCAAATGTCCATCATCCAGCTTCAAAAATGAACACTTCACAGACAGTTTTGTTTTTATTTATACACCCTGCACATCTCCTCCTCCCTCCCCTCTGCGTTATTTTAAAGCAAGTTCCAGATATAACTTTGTATCTAAATATATCAGCTTGTATCTCTAAAAGACAAGTATTCTTGAACATAGCTTCAATACCATCACACCTAAAGTAATTACAAATAATTCCTTACTAATCATATATTGAGCCCAGTGTTCAGATTTCCCCAGTGGTATCATAAATGTTCCTTTTCAGCTGTTTCTTGAAATCAGGATCAAATAAGATTCAACCATTGTCATTGGCTGTTATGTCTCTTTTAACAGGTCCCTCCTCCCTCTATTTCTCCCCCCCTTCCCCGCCTTTTCCTTGCATTTTATTTATTGAAGACAACTGGTTGTTTCCCACAGTCAGCATTTTGCTCAGTGCCTCCCATGACCTCATGTAGCATCTTCCACCACCTTGTGCGTTTCCTAAATTGGTATTTAGAAATAAAAGCTTGATCAGGTTCAGCCCATATTTGGACAAGATATTCCGTAGGCATTCTTGTGTATGTTTCCATTAGGAGCACGTCATGCCTGGCTGGCTGTCTCTGAGGGATATTGGCAGCCCTTGATCATCATTGCTTAGATCACGGGTTTTGATAGTGGTTATAATTCCGTTGTTCCTTCTTTAGGAATTAGTAGAACACCTCTGTTAAGAGAAACTTCCCCACTTACCTCTTTGGCTACTGGGGCTGGGTTCTGTGCTCTTCCCCGTGGCGCTGACGTACTCCCTGGTGTCCCTTCAGGTCCCGTGTGAATGGCACTCTTGTGTGCAGCACCACCCAGCTGTGGCACGGTGATCGAATCCTCTGGGGAAATAACCACTTTTTTAGGTAACATCTTTGTGTTCCCTAATATTTTCATAAACCTGTTTTTCTGTTATCGGAGTATAAAACAAGTCAATTTTCTCTAATGATGGAAAACTCCACAGAATTAATTTACCTAAGAGGAAACGGCGAGATTGGTTGAAAGACTTTGAAAAGGAGGCAGGCCCACCAGAGCATGACCTGGACGCAGCCAGTGAAGCTTCCTCCGAACCAGACTATAACTATGAATTTGCACAGATGGAAGTTATCATGAAAACCCTGAATAGTAATGGTAAGACCTTACCTCCGGATTCCTCCGTTTTTGGCAGTTCCTGTCTCAGCAGTTCAGTGAGGGATGCACTTGTGTAAAGTGGAGGCGTCATTCTGAAATTAAGAACGTAAACTTGCTAATTTCTTTTTTTTTTTAAAGATTTTATTTATTTGTGTGAGAGAGAGCATGAGCGGGGTGGGAGGGGGGGTGCAGAAGGAGAAGCAGGCTCCCCGCTGAGCAGGGACACGGGGCTCCATCCCAGGACCCCGGGATCACGACCTGAGTCAAAGGCATATGCTTAATGGACTGAGCCACCCAGGTGCCCCCAAATTGCTAATTTCTTACAGAGGCCATTGGGGAGGGACTAATGAAACTATTGCAGGGCCTGGTCTGCTCCCTCAGGTATAACTAAGAAGTCCCTGTTTTGAGACTCCTTGTTCCCAAGTCAGTTATGGTAGCATTTCCACAGTCCTAGAGTACAGAATGATCGTGGTGGAATTCCTTTTCAAATTTCCCGTTACTGAGTTCGTCATTTCTGAATCCTTCAGAGCACAAAAATCCCCAGCAGAGGATGAACCCAGGAATTTCAAATGGAATCTAATGGAGAGATAAAGGTCACAATATTTTGGTAAAAACTCAGTTGGAAATTATACCACCAAAGACGCTTATTTAGTAAGCTCAGGTAGCTTTTACAAAAATGATCCTACAAAGAGGGGCTTTTATAGGCTCTTTGCTTGACTTACACGCTGGCCTGTCTCAGATTTTTAAGGAAGAGATTTTCCTTAAAGCCTTGTTTCTAGATCCCTCTTTCCAGAAAGTTTTCAGTGTTTGTATTAAAATTCTTCCCCTCTATATCTAAAAAGTAAGCCTTTATCTCTTCATACACACTTCCGTGCATTCAATAAAATCCACACCACATTCTTTCCTTGATGGCAGTTTTATATATCTGCAGCTTCTCTTGCATCTCTCAGTCTCTCGTCACCAGGCTTTTGCCTGGGGACTAGAAGCAGGACAGGAAAGTTCCTCTCCTACCAAGCACAAGACAGCATTTCTGGGACCAGAACTATTTGACAGGGAAGTATGGTTGAGTTTACATTAAGGAGCACCTGAGAAAGTTTGTTTTTGGATTTTGTCTCCTTTCACTTTCCCAATCAGGGGTTCTTTGAATACCTGAGGATCCCTACCTCGAACCAGGGAGGACCTCCAGGAGCCTCTGCCTGACATGGTACAGGGAGAGCATCATGGTTTCCCAGTGGGGCTCTCCCCTGAAACCATGACTTTTGCACTCTATCTATGAGTCAGCCTGAGAAGAATGTGAGCGTGGCTGGAGAATGTCAGTCGGGTCTCTGGCGTGTCAAATTGGGGATTCGAATTGCAGGAATAAAGACGTTGACCTTTTTAGTCTCTCTGGATTTTTAGCCCCAAGGACCCCCCTCTTTTCTATTATAAAAATGAAGTATGAAGAAGAGGCTAGATGGAAAAACAAGTATGATGTATTTAATATGAAGAATAGAGAACACCGCCAAAAAAGAACATCAGTGAGATTAGGGATGCAGATTAGCTGCTGGGCTTTTGGGCGCTGCACCACAGACTGGACCATAGCTAGAAATCAGGCTGCAGTTCACTCTGCTACTTGCTCACCCAGTTGGGAGGAATCACAGGAGACATTCCAAAGTGATGTTCAGACATCAGAATCACATTGATGGGCCATTTTCCAACGTGCCTGAGCAACAAGTCTCCTATGAGTAATTTTTGGGAGCCTGAATGGATACAGGGTGTGACAGGAGGGTGTGGGCCCCAAGCCCCAGGTGCAGAACGCCTGTTGGAAGAACTTCTTTCTTTACATGAGATTACAGAATTCTAGATGTCTCTGTTGTCTAACAGCAACGTATCCAAGTGCTATCAATTTAATCATCTACGTCCCACATCACACATTTCTAATTTTATTGAGTCACTACGATCTTATCATATTTATATTAAAGCCCTGAATAACCGATGAGTATTTGGTGAGTGTTTGTTAATTCCTCCAATCCTCTTAGCCAAACCAATTAGTCACTGGTGGGCTGGCTTACGGTATTAACATGAGTTACCCATTTGCCTTCCAGAACAAGCCTTGTTCCCCAGTGTTGATTTTGTCTGTTTCAGAATAGTGTTTCCCCAATTCCCCGCATAAGTGGGGCTTCCCTCTGGTGTGCTCTCAGTGCCGAAACGTGGGGGGCCCGCTAGTGTTCATGGAATTCCCCTCTACCACTAGGTGGCTTCCCGATCCTAAGCCTGTCTGCCTGGTGGTCGTCCCCCTGGTGGTCCTATTTGAAGATTCTCTTCCCTCTCATGTGGTTTCAGACGAAGCTCCTCCACAGACACTGGGATAAAGGTTTTAACTGATTGGCATTAGCATGGGGGAGCTTGACTGGTTGTTAGCAGTGCTGCTGACCAATGCTTGTGCTTCTGCTTTGGCAAAATCGAACTAACATGATTGGGAAGAAGTGGAAGTTTTCTGCCTGACAGAAGCACTCTGTATTCCTGATTGAGGCGTGTGCCCTTTTAAGTCGGGACCCCTACCTCCCCGTGTCCCAGCTCCATTGCCTTCCCATTGGTTAAACTCTGGTAGCTGTCCTTGCCCTGTACTTCCCCCAGCACAGATGTGTTACTGCGTTATTGCTCCTGTTACTAATGGCTGGATGACCGTTGGGAGCTCAGCAGTTCAGGACTCTGTACTTGCAGATATCGATTGACCTGCATCGTCCCAGTAATAGACGAGGATGATGTATTTTCAAATCTCTAAATCATGATCGAAAAACCCCATTCACTGGAATTAAGAGTAGAAGCAAACCCAGTATCTGTGTGCATTACATAGTTACATACCGAGATAAAGAATAAACTAACGAAGAGAGAACATTCTATACCATAATAAATGTGGTCCTTTCTCTCTTCCTAAAACACCTCCCTCTTTGGTATCTTGGCTTTAGGCTCCAGGCTCACTGAGTTTCAAAACCCTTCATTCAAGAGGAAGAAAATGATAGGGAGGAAAAGAAACCGTGGACAATTTTTTGATGGCTGGTTGGTTGAGAATAGGCTAAATAGTCTTTGGCTTCTGTCCTAAGCCGTATCATAGAGTCAGATTGACCTGCTGAGTAGGATGATCTGTTTGTAAATACGCTGTATAATGATAAAGGCTTGAAACTGGCTTATTGAAAAGACGGTATCATCAAATACGTCTAAGAGAAAGACTTGTGTTGAGATCAGAGTTCAAAAGGGAAAGACAGACAGAGGGAAATCTTAGCCCCTGTATCTCTACCCAGGCTCTGTGTCGTGTGGTCTGTCCCAGGGCCCCAAGGCAGGGCTTACCGGGCTACGGTGGCAGGCTCAGGGGAGGGGTGCTTTGAGTTGTTCCCTCTTCTATAACTGCTTCTTGGTTTGTGGCCACTGATGAAGCCTGGTGAATAGTTATGTCATGGTGTTAGATCATGGCATCTGCCAAAGCAGTTTAAAGCACCCTTGGTCACGTTGCCTCTGCATTAGCATGGAACCTCGGGGTGAAATCCTCTCAGCCATTTGGGATCATGTGTGTTTCCACACACCACGGACTAACAAGCAGAAATAAGGATTAAATGTCTTACCCGGTGTCTTTTAGCAAAAATCTTAGAATATTAATTTTTATCAAATGGTGTATTCTCCAGTTTTCTCTCTCTGGAAAAGATTTGTGAACACTAATGTAGGCTCTTGAAAACCAGGCTCCATGGAAGTATAAATGGATGGTGAAGACCCTGTCCTTCCTTTTTTAAACCTAGAGCCTAAAAGGGAAAAAGTATGTATTGTTTGAGAAATGCATTTTTAAAATAATTCTGAGACAACTTTTCTCCCCTAGCCCTTACATTTAAAATTTCTTCAGACTCCTTCACCATATTATTCATATATTTTTCATAAATTTACAGGGCGAGGTCAGAAGTTCTAATGCTTTAGAGTACATAGATGTCTTACTCTACGAAAAGCTCTTCCCTCTCCATGGTCTGTCTTTAAGAGTTTGGTATTTTTTAGGAGTTCGTTTTCCATCAGATTTTCAGGTGGTATATTTTAGAGACTCCCTGTCAGGACTCTGTGAAGAAAACTATTTCTGCTTTGGAAAAATGCTGAGTTTTAGAATTTTATATCTGCAAAGAACAGGATTTTTTTCAAATATCTACTCTTTAACAGAGTACTAATTCTGAGCAAAAGATTGGAGATAAGAATACTGTATCAGTTTATTAGTAAATTGATGTCCAACCTCAGATGGTTAGCTCTGATGTGAGTTCAGAACCTGGCTCTGTCGCTTATTAGCTCTGTGATCTTAGGTCAGCATCCTTAAAATGGGAATATATCCACCCTCAGGTATGGTGCAAGGCTTTCATGACATGATGCATGGAAAGGGTGCAGTGCTTCTACCTGAGTGGTGGTCAGTAGCTAGTAGAATTCTTATTGCCATGTGGTTGTCATTTTTTATTAAAACAACTCACCTGTACTCCGTATAGATCTCTAGTGATTTCTTAAATTGCTTTCTACTTTTTGTTTTGTATAATTTAACCTTTTTTTTTTAAGCTAACATACTATCTCTTTCTCTTATTGCTTACATAGAAGATAAGTATAATCTACATGGTTATTCCACAAATTGATCGGTAGGGTCTTCTGGAAGGGTCAGTCAGGAACCATCATTGGATGACAGAAAAGTTCGTCTTACCCTCTTCATTTCCCACTCTATCCTGGAAATTAAACTGAGAGTCAGTCTGTGGGAACAGCACAAGTAGCACTATTTGAATCCCAGGCAAAGGTGTGAGTTGCAGGCCAGTCTGAGAATATGAATCATGTCCTCCCCATCTCATGTGCTTCAAGGAGGAAATACCGGGATGGTGGTTTTCTTATTTGCCATCCAAATAATCTGACATATTGTTTCCCTGCAGTCTGCTCACTTAGAGATGCCAGTAACTTTCTCCTGTGGACATATGGTCAGTGCCTTCTTTCTCCACAGCATCCAGATCAGTGGTCATTGCCAAGCTAATGTCCAGCCTCAGCCAGTGACCCCTACCTACACCACAACCACTGCTGGCCATGGCCATGACCCCTTCGAACAACGTATTTCTGTACTTGTTCACCACATGTATGGTGTTGATCTCTTGGTCTGCAAAAGCAATAAGTCAAAAACCACCTTTTGTTCTTATAAGTGAATTCCTCCCCTCCTTCCTCCTTTTTTTCTGCTTTTCTTTTCGCATGTGAATTACCCTCCTGGATATCAGCACCTGAGAAATTGCCAGACCATATACTCAATATTTTCAAGCATATCCTGTGATCTAGAAGTTTCCTCCCCCACGATAGAAATTCAGGAGTAATGAGATTTGTGGTTAAAATCAGAAATATAAACCCTTCACCATATACTAAAACTGATGCTAAATGGGCATAGAGATTGACTACCATAAAAATGAAATCTTGTGTGGCTGTCTTTGAAGCTGTCTTCGATTTCATGAAGTTGTTTCTCAATGGGTAGAAACGCATCCCCTCTAGCGTCTGCTTATAGTGAATTACTGATCCATCTAAACAGGAGGATGAGCACATCAAATTGAAGAAGCACAGTAGACGTGGGGAATGTTTACATGTAAGGCATTTATCTGAAATGTTAGCAAAAAGGCCGTTGGGAGGATCTCATCTGGAGGGGCCCCTCGGGCGCTCAGAGAAAGCATCTGGAAAGGCTAGATTCTGAGCAGGGAGATGATTCTCACTGGAAGAAGCGCCGACCGGCTGCCCTGTCGTGCCCATCACCGAGGACACCTTGCCTTGTCTCTTGGCTCTCCAGACCCAGTGCAAAATGTGGTTCAGGTGCTGGAGAAACAGTACCTGGAGGAGAAGAGGAGTGCCCTCGAGGAGCAGCGGCTCATGTATGAGCGGGAGCTGGAGCAGCTCCGTCAGCAGCTGTCCCCGGAGCGGCGGCCCCCGAGCAGCGGCCCTGACCGCCTGGCCTACAGCGGCCAGACGGCTCAACAGAAGGTGACCCAGTGGGCAGAGGAGAGGTAAGAACGGGACCTGGGGAACCCAGGGTCACCAAGGGGGATCAGCCTAGCAAGGAAGGAAATCTTAGTCCCAGATCTGGGTTGTTGGCAGTTGCCTTTTCCTTTGAGAGATACTGTCCATCCGCAGGATGTCTGCTGCAGTGTTAGTTGTTAAAGACCACCCCTCTCCCCCTTACGCTTCAGTAAAAATGGCACCACGTGCCAGTACACCGGCAGGTATTGAAAGAGAGAAAGTTTGAATACTCCTGTAGCATAAAAGCATTCCTCATCTTTAAATTTCTCTTACTTTGGATTCTCTCGAAATACAACTGTAACATTAAGAGATCTACTAAACGTGTATTTTCCGAATTTATGGCTCTTAAATATTTATCTCAACTGAGGTGCCGGTGGGAGAAGCATCGTCCGAGAGGACAGTGTGTCACTTGTGGATTCTGTCGTGTTCTTACCGCAGTCTAGGCGCGGTGCTGACCTAAGAGTCCCCGCAGACTGTGCCAGAGGGGCGGTTCTGTCCGTCCCGTAGATAGGGCGCTCACTTTACGTGTCCTCAGTCACCCGCCTGGCCAGTGAGAAGGCCAGCGTGTGAACCCAGATCTGCCTGTAGTCCCCTTACTAATAGCAGTAACAAAAGTAGCATTTGGTGTTTACAGAGCCTGGTCCAGCACCAAGTGCTTTACATGTATTCGTCTCATCTTCACAACTGCTACTCTGTTTGATCATTTGTACCCCATTTCACACATGAGCAAACAGGCTGCGAGGGGTTGAATGATTCCCCCAAAATCATTTTTTTTTAGTATAAACATTCACACATGTATTTTGCAATATTCTTTTTGCACTTAACATTTATTTGTGAACATTTTCATTGTTTTAAACAACCACTACTATGTTATATTAGAGGCCGAATTCCTTTGTATGACATAGAATAATTCTTTGAATTAGTTTCACATTGTTGGATATTTAGTTCTTACTAAAATTTTTGCTTTCATAAATAATGCTGCAAAGAACAACCATGTGCACAAATACTGTGAACATCATTATCTTTTTTTTAAAAAAAGATTTTATTTATATATTTGAGAGAGACAGAGATAGCAAGAGAGATCATGGGCAGGAAGGAGAGGGAGAAGCAGGCTACCCACTGAGCAAGGAGCCCGATGGGGGACTCGATCCCAGGACCCCAGGACCATGACCTGAGCGCAAGGCAGACGCTTAATGACTGAGGCACCCAGGCGCCCCATTATTTAGCTTCTTATTACAGAGTCCTAGAAGTAGAATTGCCAGGTCAAAGTGTAGGGGAAATATTAAGACTTTTGATGCAAACTGACAAGCTACCTCCCAGAGTCCCTTAGCTGGCAAGTCGGGGCAGTGAGATCAAAGCCATGGCCGTCTGACGCCGGGGCCAGTCTCTGATTCTTGCAGCCACACTGCATCTCTCATGAGCAGTGAGACTCTTAAACTGGAGCCACATCCAGGGAAGATGACCCCTAAGAGGAGAAGAGGGAGAAAAGGAGCCCAACCCTGCTTGCCATAATAATGCACTTGATTGTTCTAAATTAAGAGAAAAGAGTCAGTGGCATTTTCCCCAGGAGCTGCCCGCTCATCTGTCTGGATACTGAAGTATGAAGATTTATCCTACTTGTAACACATTACTCTCTTTTTCTGTGCCTGGATAAAAGAGGCAAAGGTTATCAGATGGTGCTTTTTCTGAAGAGCTGCCTTCTCTGCCTTTACTGCGAGCTGGTGGCTTTCTTCTAAGCAACAGAGGGCTTGAAAGTAATTGTGATTGGACCCACTGATACCTTTCTGTTCAGTCTCCCTAATTACTTCTCTATGTCCTGAAGATGGTAAAAGACAAAAAAAGATGCAACAGAAAAAGTGGATTGTTTTTAATGATAGTATTTTTCAGTCAAGTGTTAAAATTTTTTTTCCCACTTAGCTTAAGTCCAAATTGATTTTCTTTGAGGCTCAAGTTCTTAAACATAAGGAGAGTAGCAAGGATGATATTTTGGGGATGTCATCCAAGGAGAGGAGAATGGTTACAATATTTCTTTCACCAGAGTCACTGGATAAAATTAAGATGTCATTAATGATGGACTGTTATATTAGAAGCTGGGACTCTTACCTAAACAAATGTGGATGGCTTGTGAAATACTGAGGGACTCATACCTAAGTAAATGTTGAAGGGCTGAAAATCAACTATATTTAAGAGCTAGTGAGAATTACAAAGAAAATCAGAGATGCCGATTCTTCTTTCTGGACACTTACAATGGAGTGTAGAGCAAGATACAAATACGTGAAAAGTGCATCATAATAGTAAATTAAAAGACAGTTTCATCCAACAATAGGAAGTGTTGCAGTTGCATAATTGTCCCTTTGTCATTGATCCCTGAGCTGAAGAATAACTTCCCAGGGCAGGGGATCTGTGATAAACAGGTGGGTGCCTGAGCAGGGAATGCAGGAGGAGCTGTGGTGGTTAGTGCAGGGTGGGACCCTGTTCCGTGGAGCCTTCTGCAGCAAGATCATGGAGAAGGAAGGATTTCAAGCGAGTTTGAAGGGTGGCGACTGGACGGGCGGACAGGAGGTGGGAGGCATTTTGAACGGGCAGGTTGGTACAAACAAATGGGAAGCCATGGAGCAGAGGAAGGTGTGTTTAGGGGATTACATGAGAGCTGTTTTGTTTGGTCTAAAAGGTGACTTACAGAGGAGGATGGAAAGCTAAGTCCAAAGCTATTCTGTAGGGCGCAGAGGAGGTTTTCAACTGAGGACTGACCTGAGACAGGCAGGGATTTATGTGACTGTCTGGGAGGGAAGAGGAAGAGTGGGGGGGGCTGTGAGGTTATGGGGGGCAGGGATGGGAGCCGGGAACCAGGGGCTACGAAAACAATAGAGAGTTAGGAGATATTTCAAAGAGAGAATCAACAAGGCTTTTTTTCTGGATGTTGTGGAAAAGAGAAAAGACGGAGCTGGCTGGAAGAAGTCAAGTTCGGGTAACTGAAAAAAAAATGGTAATATCACTTAGAAAACGCAGGCAGATGGGATGCATGTGTCATATGGTTTAGGTTAACTTTATATTAACATCTTGCAGTCGGCCTCCTGTATCACTTCTAAGGTGATGAGAAAGGAGTAGAGATTGGGTGTTCCAAGCTCCTCATTGTCCCACGAAGTAAGGGCAGGTGTGTAAATGGTAGAAGAGAGAAGCTAGATGAGGCTAGATAAGCAGTCTGTTAGCCTGGATTACCTCTGAGTCCAGACTCACAGGTGGAACCCAGAAGTACTGTTCCTTTCACTCACTGGGTAGTTTGGGGGTATCCCATGGTAGGCCACGCACTTGTCTGGGAATTAGCTGTAATGACAGACCAAAAAAGACCTGGTTCTCGCCCCAGTGTGCCTGAAGCTCAGGTAATTATACAAATAAATGAGAGTCTAACTAGGACAAATGCTACTGAGACAGAGCATGTGGGGCTGGGAGAGCAGGTACTAGGGTTTTGACCTATATTCAGCGTCAGAACATTAGGGAAGGTCTCACCACGAAGCGCTATTGTGTGGAGTTGAAAAGTTGAATTCCTGCTGCCACAGAAAACCCCCGCTTCTCGCCTTTTACCAGCTGAAGAAATCGTGTGAAATGCTTTCTCCTTATGGCCCCAGATTCCTCTCCCCTTCCCCTCAGCCCCAGAAGCACATAAGTCATAATCAGTTATTTTCCCTCCAGAATCCCTTGATTGGTTTTTTGGCAGCAACATATCAAAATCTAGCAGTTTTCAAATGTTAGAGGATTTAAAATATGGTTTTTAGTTAAGTCTCTTCACCTATTTTACTCCTCATCAGTGGTGACCAATAGGGAGCCCACAGTACCCTTGTGGGAGGAAGGAAACATTAAAAAAAAAACAAAAAAAACCAAAACTTTTTTTTTTTTTTGGACAAAAAACAGTTGAAAATTATCTCCTGAAAGGAGTTTTCTACCACTTTCTAATACTATGACTCACTTAGAACCAGGATTACAGTTTCCTTTTCTTTCAGATGTTCTCATTTCCTTTTTCGCTACCCCGCAGGGATGAGCTCTTCCGTCAAAGCCTGGCAAAGCTGCGCGAGCAGCTCGTGAAAGCTAATACCTTGGTAAGGGAGGCAAACTTCTTAGCTGAGGAAATGAGCAAGCTCACTGACTACCAAGTGACTCTGCAGATCCCTGCCGCAAACCTCAGCGCCAATAGGAAGGTAAGAGTGTTTTTAAAGAAAATGAGAGCAAAATGCACAACTTATGTACTGTAAGATAGAATACACACCTGACATCCAAAAGAACATCCATGAGGAGATCTTGATGTGAGTCAGAGTATTTATTCTTTTTTTTTTTTTTAAAGATTTTATTTATTTGAGAGAGAGAGAATGAGAGAGAGCACATGAGAGGGGGGAGGGTCAGAGGGAGAAGCAGAGGGAGCCTGCTTCTCCCTCTCCCTCTCCTGCTCCCCCTGCTTGTGCTCTCTTTCTGTCAGATAAATAAATAAAATCTATAAAAAAAGAAAAACAGACTTCCGCTATATTAATATAACATTGTTTGCCAACTAGGCTTCAACAGTAAAAATTAAAAAAAAAAAAAAAAAAAGATTTCCTCTATACATCGCCCCCCCCGGAGTTTATGTGCCCTCAGATATGTTAAAATTAGAAATATATATAAGTAATTCCTCTTGCTTTTCTCTTTCCTATGACTGGTCCTTTCTGGAATGAGAGATAGGTATATGTTTTGTTATGGTACCATTTTTAAGAGTGGATTCTACAAGAAAGGAAGACTTGTATAATACCTTTTTTTTGTACACAGAACAACTTTTTGCAGTCATTGGGAAGTTTACCATCATTTCAACTTCAAGGATTTTTTTTTCCTTTAAGAAGAAACTTCAAAAGAAAATAATTTTTCATCCATTTGTGTTTGCCTCCAGCAAGCAAACTAGAAATGAGTCAGGGAGTATTTCATTAATCTTTCTGTATTTTAGTTCTTTGACCAAGCAGTTCTTTGAAAAATTTATCTTAAGTCCACGGTCATAGAAGTGTTCATAAAGACCATGTGCTTTTTGTAGAAGGATGCTTATCATAATGGCCTTTATAGTAGCAAAAATTTGAAATAGCCGTGATGTTGAACAATATAATAATTTGTCAGATGAGTGGTCTATCCAAATAACAGATTTCTATGTTGCCATTAAAAATCATGTCTATGAGGGGCACCTATGTGGCTCAGTTGGTTAAGCATCTGCCTTCGGCTCAGGTCATGATCCCAGAGTCCTGGGATCAAGCCTCTGCATCCGGCTCCCTGCTCAGCAGGGAGTCTGCTTCTCCCTCTGCCCCCTGCTCATGCTCTCTCTCTTTCTCTCTCTTTCTCAAATAAATAAATAAAATCTTTTTTTAAAAGAAAACAAATCATGTCTGTGAGGAATATTTAACAACACAAGGAGATGATCATAATATAAAAACTGTGGAGAGAGGATCAGGATAGGAGATTTACAGTTTTGTTTGGTTCTGCTTATGATAAAAGTAAAAAGCATATGCATGGGTATACACAGAAGATTTCATTAATCTTTTTGCATCTTAGTTGAAAATAAGCCAGAATGTTCCCTAGGTGGTAGAATTTCATATTCTTTCTGTATACATTATGTGTCTTTTTCAAACTTGCTACTTGACAGTTACATATTTAACAATCCAAAAAGCCGTAACAAGGCTCATTTCGTTTGTTGTGTGTTTTTGTTTTCCTTCACTCTGCAGAGAGGAGCCATCGTGAGTGAGCCAGCTATTCAAGTGAGGAGGAAAGGAAAGGGCACCCAAGTTTGGACCATTGAGAAGCTGGAGAATAAATTAATTGATATGAGAGATCTTTATCAAGAATGGAAGGAAAAAATTCCTGAGGTAAAAGAGATAAATGTCAAGGAGATTTGACCATGTCGAAAGCGCAGAATGTAAGTGATAATCACCGTCAGAACACACACATGCGTGGCGGTGACTATCTGCGGTCGTACTTGGGACATTGATATTAGAAAACTAACGTAGAAGTGACCTTGAAAGGGGTCCTAAGTTGAATCAGTCATAGAACATGCAATCCCCACATGGACAGGAACTAAATGAAGAGAACACGTGACATATTCTTAGTTGGCAGAGTTTTTGTTACATTTCAAGTGAAGTGAAATAGAACAAAGCAAATCTGTGCTGTTTGGTCAGTGTTGTGACAAATCCACATGGATGGAGCCAGCTTGGATTTAGTATTCATTAGCATGTGTTCATGCTCCCCCAGCTGTGATCGTGGCTGGGGAGGTTACAAAGAATAATTTTAGAAAGCACAATCCATCTTTTTGGATACTAGTAATGGAAAAGAAGCCTCGGTGAAGGAAATGGGGCAAAGCACAGGGAATGGAGTGAAAAAGGCTGCACGTGGGGTGTGATAGGGAAGAGAGTCAGTGACTAAGGAAGAGCTCTCCCCGCAGACATCATGTAGCCCCCCAGCTGTCAAGACCCTCCCATGTGCTACTTTTGTTTTATTTTTGCAACATGATTGTAATATTACTTTTTTAATTTCTTTGGATAAATGCTTTCTTTTTTAAGAAACATTTTTTTTAAAACATAGTTTTAAATAATATTATCCAAGTTGGTGTTTTGTTTCCTACTCGCCTCCCCCACGCCCCCCTACCCCATTAGGCAAAGCGTCTCTATGGGAAACGAGGTGACCCTTTCTATGAAGCCCAAGAGAATCACAACCTAATTGGTGTCGCTAATGTGTTCTTGGAGTGTCTCTTCTATGATGTGAAACTTCAGTATGCAGTTCCTATCATCAGCCAGCAGGGGGAGGTAAGGACAAGCTATCCTTGGAGGAAACAGTTAAAGGGTGTGTGTCTGTCTGTGTGAATCCAATTTAAGTTATTCTCTTGAGGTATATCAGGAAACTAGGGTGAATAGTCAGGATCACATTCTTTCTTTGCTCCTATCAATAGAAACTATCAAAATTAAATCATGGTTTTTTAAGATTATAAGATTAAAACCATGTAAGATTATTACAACAAGTTTATTTATGGTTCATGAGTTTTTTTTCTTTGTTTTAATCAAATTAGAAATCTTTTGGAAACCAGATTCAGCTCCATCCCCCTATTTATCTTCCTTTAATCTCTTATGTTTGTAATATACTCAAATTCCTTCCCGGCCCCTATGTGGTCTTCACAAGATACAACTTGGGAGCATTATTTTGAAATCTAAAGTATTCAAGGAAAATAAGCTTAACCCCTTTTAAAAAACAAAAGAAAACAAAATACTTGAGATTTCAGTTACTTACATGTATTGACCTTATTATGTAGGTCTAAGACATTTTAGAAAATATTCAAGTTCAAACTGTTTGATTTTTATCCATTTCATCAACTGATCTTTTTATTTTAAATTTAGTAACATCGTTATTCCGTAGCTTGCCCTTCCATAACGTGCAGACTTGAAATACTTAGTTACCTCTTGTGATCCTTGGGGCAGGCTGTGAGCAGGATGCCATTCTGCCCAGAGTGAACCGGGAAGCAGAGCCCAGGTTCCCAGCTGTGGTGTGTACGTGCACAGCTCACATTCTGCGTGTGGCAGCCCCCTGGGGACATTCTGCTCTAGAAGACCAGCGGGCTGGAATTGCTTTTTCCCATGTGAAAAATGGGCACAGCTCCTGTGGCAAAGGAATCCAGTGACTCAGTTCTTAAGCTGGGGTCTGGGCTGGGCTTTGAGTGTTCCATTCATCCCTCTGAAATTATATTAAAAATGTATTAATTCTCAAAGACCATTGAAAAAAAACTTGAGAACTGTTGCCTTCAAACTGATTTCTGCCATTCCCCCTCCTCTGATTCCTCCATATCGGTCTCACTCGTCCAAGACCATCGACGAATTTCTCAAGTCTCTGCTGCCAATGTCAGTGGGGGTCTGACTCCCTTTAAAGACGGGCCTTCCTGTTTAAGACAACAGCAGCACTGCTGGGACGTGTCACTTCCACAGCTCCAGCCGCTGCAACCTTAACCTGTGTTACGAAAGATAACTTGGCCAGTTATAGCGCTCTGAGGGTGCCAAGTGCGGGATAATTCTTGTCCTTCGGTTCAGTTCTGGGCACCCAGCTGGAAGAGGGGCACTGCTAACCTAGCTCCTGCCCAGAGGACCACCAGGATGTTGAGGACATGTTAAGCCTTTTGGGGGGGTGGGGAACAGTTTTAAAGGAACTGTTTCCTTGTAACTGTGTCCTTGTGTTTGTCGTTCCTCCTGGGATGGGTCTCCTTCCTCCACGGACCCGCCTCCACCCTGCTCCCAGCCCCAGTGTGAGTCACATACCCATTCTCTGCTCCCAAGAGAGTAGACTCTCCAGGAGCCTGGTGACCGTGTCTTTGGGTTTACTGTTGTAAATGCAGTGTTTCGTGCAGTTCCTGGGTTTACTGTTGTAAATGCAGTGTTTCGTGCAGTTCCTGGCCTACGGCTGATTCCTGGATCAGTTTAACCCATCACAACCTGCACGTATCTCTACTATTTGTCTCAGTAGTCCCATGAGGCAGGTGTTTGGTCAGCAGACTAAATGAGTGAATACATATGAAGTGGAAAATAAACCACTCCGGGTAGAATACGAGAGCAGCCTTTACTCTGTTCGTGGGCTGCCTGTAAAGAAGGATGAGAAGGAAGATGACTCCAGAAGGCAAGTGGCAGAGAGGCAGGTTTGGCTCCAAGTCAGGCAGGGTGATTGCAGGGGCAGGCGATGGAAGGACCAGCTGTGGAAGGCGTGAGGTTCCCATCGCCGGAGCAGGCCCAGCAGCAGCCCGGGGGTCTGGCGGCGTGCTCTCCGTCTCAGGTCAGGCTTGTGCACACGATGCCTGTAACCCACAGGCACTCTGGTCCCTGCTGCAGGTTGCCGGGCGTCTCCACGTGGAAGTGATGCGAGTGACAGGGGCCGTCCCGGAGCGCGTGGCGGAGGATGACTCCTCAGAGAACTCCAGCGAAGGCGGGAGCCTTGAAGTCGTGGACAACAGTGGGGAGGTCGTTCACCGAGTCAGGAAACTGACGTGCCGGGTGAGAGGGCAGGATGGGCGGGCGCGATAAACCACCGTGTCCAGGCAAGGCAGCTCGACAGAAGATCTTGGGAGTTTTTTGTAGAGCGTGGTAAACGTTAAGCTTTCTGACCACAACTATCACGGTGGGCAGTACTTTTTCCAGAAGTGGAGCGCACTTTCTGATGCCAGTTGATGAAATGTTAAAAAGCCCCCGGGCTTTTGGCTGCAGGAAGTGTACGTTGTTCAGGGAATCGTGCTTTTCCAGTAAAGGTTGCTCCTGCGTCAGAAGCTCAGCCAGTAGGAAAATTTGAGAGGATGTGTGCGTTTGTTGCCAGGCCCACATGCTGCAGCAGTGGTCGTGGTACAGACTGATTATAAGTGGAACCCCTCATGTGCCAGACGTTTTCAGATGTCAAACGGATAACCGATTTACTTAAAATAGAAGTATTGGAAGTAAGCGTGCATAGGTTAATGTTTTCTTTATCAGAATTACATTGCTTTTTTTTTTTTAATCTCTTTAGGTAAAAATTAAAGAGGCAACTGGGCTGCCCTTAAACCTCTCAAATTTTGTCTTCTGTCAATACACATTCTGGGACCAGTGTGAATCTACGGTGGCGGCCCCAGTGGTGGACCCCGAGGTGCCTTCCCCTCAGTCCAGGGACGCCCAGTACACCGTCACTTTCTCTCATTGTAAGGTATGGGCGCCATTACAAGACGAGCTACACGGGAGGCAATGGACCTGGGTGCCATTCAAAACTCTTCTTATAACTTCCAGGTTCCCCCTATAAGAATGTTTAATAAAGGTAATATGTGTGTTGCACTTTTTAACCTCAAAATGTACTTCAGTACAAATTCAGATGGGAAGTTTTTTTTTTGTTTTTTTTTTTTAAAGATTTTATTTAT